AATTAGTCAAATGGATTACAAAAAAAAGAAACAAAAATTGGTTTCTGATCTGGTGTGAGAAAAAAAAAACATTTAAATTCTAATTCTTGCAGGTCTAACAAGAAAATACACCTCAAATCTGACCTCAGCAAACACGATCCACTGCCCGATGCAATTAAAATCCTTCAATTCCTTCAGCCATAGATTTAGACGATGGCGATGACTTAATGAAAACCACCAGCAATGTCCCACAGTGAATATCTTTCATCCATTTCCCCTTTCAAAGTCCCGAAAGCTCTTCACTTTTGCTGCTTGAATTTATAGAACATCTATTTATATATTTAAAAATAAACATTACATTGTTTCGCTTTTGTAAGATTCACAAATACATAGTGCCATTATAAGTTAATGTCACTTCCCTATGAACATTGATCGACTTTCCAGCTTAAAAAAAATTGGAAGTTGAAAAGGTGAAGTTGAAATAGCCATCAGCAAGATAAAAAAAAAAACCTTTGGTGTTCCGCTCCATTGCCAAGATTTTCACAACTTCTCTAACCCTGGATGCAGAAGATGAAAAATGTTCTCGTACTCAGGGATGCAATCACATTTCCCTCTTTTGTCAAGTAAATTGAGAAAGAGGCCTGTGACCAGAATGACTAACACGAGGACCGTTATAATAGTTGCAGTCCAGACAATGTGACCGCCAAGAAGGCTAACACTGCCAGAAGAGTCTGTCTACTCTCAGTGATGCCATCAGTATCGTGTAGCTGGACAGCATGAAATGACACCTCCACACTCATGCGTTTAATAGCAGCTGTATATTGTTTGCAGCATTCCTGCAAAACAACCAAAGCATATCCATTTAACACTGACAAGGATGAAAGCTAAATAAAACTATCATTAACAAAGAATCAGCGCTTCACATTAATCAACCTTCAAGTGCCGGGCTGTCATCCAAAGCCTTTGTCAGCAGACAGTCATCCTTCTGACAGAAAATATACTGAATCACCAAGTTGTTATCAGCTGCAGGGCTCCATTCTGAACTCTGCTTGTCCTCCACGTTGCTGTAAACTGACCTACAGGCGCCAGAACACTCCCGCAGAAAGTTACTATCGTTTGCTGCGGCAACAGATTTAGACGCTTTTTTTCTATTTGTGTTGCAACAATAGCAGCACTACCGCAACCAATTATTACAATGTTAGGTTATGAGATGTCAGATCCTTATGGTGCGTTTGCCTGCTGGTTGAGTAGTAGCCAAACGGTAGCTTTACTTTCCGGACCTGAATTTGACACCTCTGGTTATGTTACTATCATGTGTAATCATTTATATGAGCAGTCAAAAATATGCATGTTGAATAAATACTCAATCTTTATTCGTAACAGTTCAAAACACGAACAATTCTTGAGAACAAGATTGGTGACCTGATCTTCTCTCTCAGCCCTCCCAGCAGCTCCCATGCTCAGTCTTGAGCATGTTTAGTAGCGTAATGACATCTCATTTTTTGAGCACCGCAACTTTCTCTGTGCATTTAAGACATGTCCGGGGGCCTTGTGCTCGATCGCTGTTTTTTTCTTGAAATTGGCTGCTCTCGTCGCCAACCTTTTTCTTCACAGCAGATTTTGAAAAAGCCATGACTGAGAGTGAGTGAGTGACAAGATATGTTTTCCTTCCATTTGGTGTCACTTCAGAATTACTTTTTGCCACAAGCTGTCATGCGTGTTGCTCATAAATCAAACAAACAAACAAACAAAAACCCACACAAAATGCCCAGGGCAACAAAATTGCAAAAAACGGTGTTGGCCACACTAACATTAAAAATTTATGTCAAGTAGGGGACTGCAAAATATCATGCGGGTCGCAAAGGGCTCCTGGGCCCTAAATTTGAGACCACTGATTTAAAAGGTTGAAAATGCAAACATAGATGTGTTTAATACTATTCAACACCATGCAATATTACATTAAACCCACAGCAAATGCAACGCTGCCTCTGCAAAAAAACAAACAAACAAAAAAAAACATTCCTGGGACAAAATATGATGCATTGATCCTTTCCTCAAGCAAGACATAAAATGTCATAGTTTCACCAAAATATATCATGACTTTGATCAAAATACATTTTGAAATTGTTGAGACACATATTTGTGTGAATTTAGGACATAGTAGAAAATAATGCATTTCTTTTACGGAAGCCTCGCATTTATAAATATAATGTTAACAAGTGAAAGACCTTTCTAGTGCGGATGAAACTCTGGATTTGTGTTACAGAGTTTAATTGGCAAAACTAAATTCAGATATCCATCATCGCAATCTGTGCGAAGCTGGCATCATCGCAATAGGCAAACAGGTGTGCACTTGCACAAACAACATAAATAATGTAGTGTGAACAGTTAAAAAAAAAAAAAAAAACAGCACGAAATAAAAATTGATTTGCAAACATTAAATGTCTCAATTATTGTGGGGGTTACATTCCAGATTACCCCCGCGACAGACAAAATGTATGAAGTACACACACACACACACAGACACACCATTGCATTCATCTCCACCTCACTATCTACTATCTGCCTTTTATATCCTAAATAATTTCTTGTTGTAATGTGCAGCTGCAAAATCTGTACTTCTGTACATCCTCTTCACTCATTAAAAAAAAAAAATCCCAATACTGTATTTGAACTCTATTGAACTTCAATTCAGATATTCTGAATTCCAGAGGCAAATTAAAATTTTCAGAAACGTAAACGCTCACTGGTCAGATGACTTCAAATGTTTACAACTAGCACCAATTAAGCACTATGTAATTTCAACTCAGTCACATCAGCAATGATTCAAAAGTAGGAATAACCTCGAGATTAGAGACAGAGAGATAAAAAATATACACTGACTGGTCAAATCAATATAACCAACACACACACACACACACACACACACACACACACACACACGCACACACACACGCACACACACACACACACACACACACACACACAAGCCTCCCAGTGCCCTTGCTCGTTGAAAATTGACTTCACTTTGCTGCTAAAGAGCCATAATTCTTAAACCCTATGAATTCCCACACTTGAGTATGAGTAGCTGTGGCAGAATCACACGTCTGTCTTCCTCTCTGCTCTTACATACACTCAACATGCATATACACCAGGGGTGCCCAAACCTTTTGGACCGAAGATTGACTTTTCGATCAACCAACCTCCCGCGATCGACCCGTTACTGCGCAAGCGCACACACACACACACACACACACACACACACACACACACACACACACACACACACACACACACACACACATACACACACACATACACACACACACACACATGCCATGATGAGCAACAGCCTGACACGGAGGCATGCGAGGAACTTTTGCAGCCTGTTAACTATCGTAGCTCACACGTATCGTTTTAAAGTGCTTCCCTCGGCCCTCTAGATTCCTATTTTTTACCCGTGCCCTCGGTGAATTGGACACGAAACAAACTGAATGAGAATAACGATAACGATAAAAGATATAGCGCAACACAAACTGCAATTGCAGACTGCTGAGCGCTAACAACTTCCGATGACACAGGTCACACGCCACCATAGGTTGAAGGTTTACCTGCTTTATTTTATTTTTTAAAATACTTTTTCTGAAAATGAGACTGACAGGATGATTAGAGTGCAGTGTACATTAACACAAAAAATACATTACTAACATGCACAAAGACACACAAATGGTTGTTTGGTTTTTTTTTTTCTCCTCTACACCCCTCGCGATTGACTTGGGACCAGTCCGCGATCTACTGGTTGATCGCGATCGCCGTAATGGGCACCCCTCATATACACCATTGCAACACTCTCTCTGTTCTCTTAACAGAAACTCCCTCTAATGCTCATACAGAGAAGAGGACTTAGAGATAGGGGGAGGAGAAAGGGAAACACCTGCTGGGCTGTAAAGCACTCAGACAAACAGCGTCTGTATTTGGAAGGCTTGAACAAATGGCAAAATTATACAGTGGATCTCCAAAAAGCGGCTTTGTCCTTACCGCTGGTTGACTGAATGGAAAACAGCATAAACAGGCTGTTTTGCTGTAGTTTTTCTGCAAAACAATGTAATGGATGTTTGTGGATTTCCGTTAAAAGTACAATTAAAAGAGCGTACTAATACATGGTAAACTATAATAACATTAACATCCACAGTATCGTGTGCACCTGGGTCCTCCATTAGGGTCCAATACAAAGAGTAGTATCAAAGGGCAGGTTGTTGTTTGGCCTGGTCAGAGACTTCTATTTGTAGCAGTTTGTACAACACTGCATGACACGGAGGTGTTTGGGTTGTGTTGATATGTAATGTAGATACATGGGGGAGGGGTAAACTAATAGGAAAAGCTCTGTGATGCAGTCCAGCAGCCTCCTAATAAACACAGGAATACACATCTTGTTCAGAGGTGTCACAGCTAAATCGGGGCCCCCTTAACTGATCGTCATGAAGCCCCCCCCAACCGACTTTTAATTCGGGGTAGGTGGTGGACTTCACAGACCATGGGCCATGTTGAGGGACCCCGAACGACTTCATGTTTCCTCATAGATCAATAACCTGATCTTGTTTGGATGACCAATATCTGACAGTGTCAATCAAACCAGGGCAATTTGATCTTTTTCATGTGTCCCTAATAATGTGACCTTTTTGTCGTCCATTCAGCGAGCGCTGGGAAGTACAGTACCATGGTTTTAGGGGAGCCAGATACAAAACGGTCATGAGGAAGTAAGAAATGCATCTTGTGAAAATCTCCTTTTTTTTTAACCAGACTGAACTATGAAATGCCTCTTTTGTTTGTTTATCCCTCGATTAACACATACGCACGAGCAAAAACATGCAAACTATCGCTGGCACGTATGCTCACTGAATCGGTCGTTATCGCTCGTGCGCGGAGGCACGCGCACGCACACACACACGCACCTGCCCACGCAACTTGTCAAGTAGAAACGTATGAGCCATGCGTAAAATAGAATTGTGATAGCCTCTTACCTGCGATGTGAGAGGTACACGCTCAGTCTCCAAAGGGATGCCAATGACAGGATCTTGACCTGCGCAGGATGTTACAGTTTTCGAATAATCCAACCTCTCTCTTCTCTCCTCTTCTCTTCTCTTCTCTTCTCTTCTCTTCTCACCGCTGCAGCCAAACGATTACCTCCAGGAGATTGCGTGCTCTCATCCCCCTCTCGGTCAAAAGCGATTCTCCGAACCTCTGACCGAACTTTCTGGGTTCAAAAAAGCGTGTTTAAAACACCTTTCCCTTTTCTCCACGGTTTTGAATATGACACGGACTCCGGTCGGTCCTTCTGTGTTCGCGCATTACTCTGGAACAGTCGGTCCACTTTTACGCATCCAAAACGCGGAGAGTGTGAGGCTTCCGCTCGAAAAAAATACTAATGAACGATCAGACGGAGCGCTGATGCTTGTAATTTTGGCAATGTAGAACTTTGTGCCCTTCATTCTCAATGCGTAATCGTTGTCATGACGTCCTCACTTGCCCAGCTGAAGTCTATTGATTGGCTAATTGCCTGCCAATAAATGCGCAAGGTGTTGTAAGAGTCGCCGTCACTTTCCTCCGATATATTCCAAATGTCAAAATGCAGTCCCAGGGAAAGGTCGTGTTTCACGCAAAGGTGCACGCTGATATCGCTCCGAACATTCAAAAATACCTTCAAGCATGACAACCTCGAAGTTCTACTTCCCTAGACGTGCTGTCAGCTTTTTTGAAATGTACTTTTCTACCCAAGTCCACAAAAAAAAAAGCTATAATAAAAATTGGTTCTTTTTCTTCTCTTCGCTGCATTAGGCGCTTCAAGGTGTCTTTTAAATTACCTCCTGCAAAGAAAAAAAAACGTTTAGAAGCTTCGAGACACTCCTTTTGCATTCCTCTCCTCACCGAGGGAGGAGAAGGTTTTAAGAGGACGAGAGGTTAAAAGAGAGGGTTGATGTCTTCGCTTTCCACGAAAACGGACCTTCTGGGATAACGAAAGGACGGGGAAGAAGATATGAGAGAGGGGCTACGACGCTTATGTGACGGATCAACTCTACTTTTCTCAGTGGAGGAATGCGCCTCGCCCTCCTCACCCCACCTCCTCCTTCTATACGTCTCTCTCACCTCAGGTCTAGTGGGCGGCTCTGATACAAACTAACTTAAATAAGTATGCCGAAATGTGTCATAAAAGAGAATTTGGTATGTGGTAGGCTATTGTATGCGCTACATTTAAATTCTTTTCTGACTGTTTTGTTGGAAGAGATGGGGCAAACATGAAGGGCGCTGTTCTCTTCAGCACCACAAACCAGCACAGTCGAATCCACTCAGAACACAGAAAGGGGACATTTTTTCCTTCTCGCTCTTCATTCGTTAAAATGATGCATGCTCATAATTCTGTCGCCAAAAGCCACCGACCAAACGAGGGATATGAAAGAGAGAGTGTGAAAGAGCAATACAGTACGAAGGGTTTTAGCTTGAAAAGAGCCACTGTGCTGCCCCCTTTTGGTTACAAAGAGTCATGACGTGAGAGATGAGAGAAGTGTTTAATGTACAGCCACTCTGCTCAAGACTAAAGACGCTGCAACAGGGCAGGCAGACAAGGCATTTTCTTCGTCTTGAAGGTGACTCCCAAGAGATGGCTGACACACACTTTTTGAATATGTCACCCAACGTTCCCTCTAATTTCCCATCAGAGTTCACACAAAGCCCCTGAGCATTCCTTGGACCATTGTGAGCAACATCAGACATGCACGCGGCGGCCAAACCAGGATCACATCTGTATAAAAACTGAGATCAAAACACGTTACATGATGTAGGCACAAATAAAAGTCAAACCATCTTGAAATAGAGCATATCACCAAATTCAGAGTTGTAAAATGAATACAACAAGCCCTAGTTTGGAAGAATTGGGTGAGGAGTTTGTAAGAATTGGTTGGAGTATTTTAATGTTACTTTTTATGTTGTGAATTGTCCCAAAATAACTTAATTAAATAACTAATGAAATGGAAATGAATAGGAAATCTGACAATCAGACTGGCACCAGCATCGACAACATGAGTTCCACATCACACACAGAAGAAACTCCACACAGAACTGTGTGGAGTTTGCAAGAGCATGTAAACTCCACACAGGAAGGCCAGAGCCCGGAATCAAACCCCAAACCTCTGTGCTGTGAGGCGTACATGCTAACCAGTCTACCACCGTGCCGCCTACTTACAGTATGTCATGTTGATCAAAATTGATTATAAAGGATCTCTGTTGAATTGTTCCACACGCCACAACATCTTGGCATTAGTTCATCGTATAAGTCTTGACATGCAAAATGGCAGTTCTTACACTATGTTAGAACAAACAAGCTCAGAGCAAGTCAAGATCATTGCTGTGATGTGGATGAGAATTTGATGCCCAAAAGGTAGGTGCGTAGGAAGACTTCACTAGATTGAATTTAGAATACTGCCATCAAAACCCAAGCGGGCGGCAGTTCACATCAGAACACAATTTCCAGATTACACTGTTATATCAATAACAACAAGCAACTTCACTGTCTTATCCATACACAATCACTCACAGACTTGTTGTTCTGATGGCACTGACAATTTCAATAACACAAATATTTACTTTTCAGAGATGTGCTCAGCATAGATCATGACACTTTGCGCCACTGAGCCAAACGGAACACACAACAATAAAATTACTCTCCAAGCCTATTTCTTTGTGACATTGCTAATATCGTATCAGGACATTTGGAAATCATTACAACCCTAGTCAGCAACTCCAGGACTGCTTTGTATTTCTCACTCTCACTTATGTCAGGTTCATGACTTAGAAGCAGTAATCACATAAACAAAATGCCTGACAGCAGGGATTGGTATTTAGGCTCGAGAGTTGACACATTGATTCACTTTATTGTCAAATGTGGCCAAGTCTTTTAATCGCTTGTCAGATCTTCCCAGATAAGCAGACACAGTCTCTATTTTTTTTTTAAACAACCCCCTTATAATCTGTGGCTATGCTGCTGGGATTTAACAAAACAGGCCTTTTTTTAGACAGTTAAGTCATAAGTAGATGCACCAGGTACAGACAGAAGAGTTATCGGCACTCACTGTGTTGTCTAGTGACAACACAGCATAAAATTAGAATCAATGAAAAATATGAAAAGCAAGATATGAATCATTCACATTTGAAAACTGTGTACATGATGTATTTCCCAATTAAAGTTTTACCTATGCCTAGTTCCAGAGTTTTCTCATGACAATAAGTCCTGTGAAATCGTGCACATTTAAAAGCATTATATCATAACAAACTTTTCGAAAAAGAAAAATAGAACTGAGAACTCTGTGACCACTTAGAGTGAACAATCGCCTGTGCAGGTGATTCTGGATGTCATTTCAAAACTGAAAGCTCTTGAACAGATGGCTAAATAGATGTAAAGGGTCACTGGCAATACTTCCTGCCCTGTTCTTCACCCTTGTGTCATGCTGTTCCTCGATGGAGGCCAACAGACAGCCGAAGTATTCAATGATGCAGAAAACACTTTGGATCTTGTCCTTGGAACCCGAGGAGACAAAGAAGATCCAAAACAAAAAAGACAGTTGTCAGATAGCGATGAGGGATCATAAGTTTTTTTTTTTTTTTGTTTTTTTTTAAATGAGCATTTTTGCACAGCATGGAGAAAGAGTGTATAGCACACACACACACACACACACACACACACACACACACACACACACACACACACACACACACACACACACACACACATAGCTGCCAAGACACGATTCAACAGGCGTGATTGAGCGCCACTTGTTTTTGATATCACATCATAGCATACAATGCCATCTATTCATTTTGTTGCTGATTTATGTTTTTATAACTGCGAATGCAACCTTACAGCTCTGTGGCACCACCCGAGGTTACGGAACTTGTTTTCATCTTATTAAATTGCTCAAGTAACTCTGTTGTCTTTTCTGGTTACAAGCATTTATTAATTTTGTCGTGTTTGTATTTCGAGACAGCCATTTAAAAAAAATCTTTTCAAACCTTAAGGTAACATTGATGCAGATCAAAAGAAGGGCAACTCATCAGTATGCCTCTCTTTTTTTCATTGCCTGAGGAGACCTCAGAAGAATATGTCAAAAAGTAGTCTATTCTTACTTTTCAGAACAGTTAATGTTCGAAGTCTTCATTGTTTTTCCTTTCATTCATTGTTCCAGTCAAAATTATTTAGAACAGAACTACAGTATAACTGTTCCAAGATTGGCTCAAAACCCCAAAAAACAGAACCACATTCTGATTGTTTTATGTATTAATAATTTCAATTCAGGCAGATAATTGAATAATCTGTTGAACTAAGGATTTTATCAAAATTGGTCAGCATCCTGAGGAGATGTTTAAGGCAAAAAAAAAAAAAAATTGACGTAGGTCATTATTTTAAGAGGCTGACGATATGATGGTCTTATTGTGCTTCCCCTTTCCAGTGTACTAAATGGAAGGTCATTGTCTTCACTTTTTTATTTTTGCAGTTAGTCCAGTGACATTGCTTGTAAATATTCACATTTATCAAGGTCATTTTTTTCACAGGGCATTGAATCCACAGCAACTGGGCTGCTCTGTTTGTCTTAGAAGACGCTCCAAGAAGGCTTCATCAGCAGGACCAGGCTCAACTCAACTCAACTGTTTGTATAAAGCACTTTAACCAACCCAGACCAGCCTGATTTGTCCCAACCAAGCCTTGAATGAACTGATGAAGGCTTCTCGAAGGAGAGGCGAAACATCTTCAAGATAAACAGAGCAGTCCAGTTGTGATCGATTTAATGTCCAGTGTCATTAGTTGTCCCAGCAGCGCCTGTCATTCATTTCCTCGTCAGCTATTTCCCTGGCATTAATGCTGCATGTTGTCCTGGAGGTCCTAACTTTTCATCTTGCTCTTTCCTGAGTAGAATCTTTGCTGGCAGAATTTGTCATGCTCATTATAATGCTTTAAGAGAAATGTAGGTCACACTCTGTTGTATATTTTGTGTTGCTGACGCTCCCCTCTCAGCTCTACCAGGCATCCATCCAACCTCACCAACGCAGACTGTCTAACAGCGCCAACATCTCTGCTGACCAAAATGTTGCCCATTGCAGGCGCAAAAAGCACAAGCGCCCCGCAGCTTTCAAGAGGCGAGTATTGAATTGCGCAGACATAGCCCCCCATCAAAATTACAGCTGGTACGGATATGCTGCCAAGAAGGCGTAACCATCAAGCACAGATTTTTCTTCTTCGACAAATGTCGCGGCCAAAAATGCTGAGAACAAAGGCTCCACACGAAGGACAACAAACACCGTATGACAAAAACAAATGACAAACACAAAACAAACAAACAAAAAATGCTGAGCCCTTGAAGAGCTCTTGAAGGTGGCTGCTAACTGCGGCGCCATCTTGGCATTCGTCAATAGAAGCAACCCTGCTCGTACTTAATTCATCCCCATCAACAAACACAGTCTCGCATATGAATAATTTCATCATATTTAAAATGTGTGTTGCACATTTGTTGAGGAAAAAAAAAGAAACTATACTGCTGGTCTAGGAGACTGTCAGTTGATATTTGGCGCATTCCTGATGCTGATGAGATCAGTCTTATCGGCAGCATCAGCAAGGTCTGGTATTTTGCCATCACCAAGCCACCATGCACCTACAAAACAGATTTTATCTCATCTCTGCGTTGACATCAGCATTCTCGACTGTCCACTCCGTTCCACTCTGATTGCCTCCTTGCACAGCATAGGGCTTAAGCACAATGCCATACGAATGCAAGAAGACACTGCACATGCAGCTCATTAAAAAGAAAAACAAAACTGCTTCAACAAAATAACTCAAAAATATTATTACACAGACAATGCTGCTGTATTGAGACGCTACACACCACACTGACTGGGACAAAATAATGAGCTCTTTTTCAAAACGCTATTTATCTACTTTGATGATGCTCAAATAAAATTAATCCAGACCTACACATTTTAAAAGCATTAATTTGGTGCTGTTGAAAAATCAGTCCAAATAAATA